GGGATTGAACTCAGGCTCTTGCACTTGCCAGGGAAGTGCTTATTCCACTGAGCCATCTCCCCAGCCCCTTGAAGTGTGAATTTTTTAAAATCTTTTTTCAAATTTTATTTTAGAAGTGTGAATGTTTTTGAACTAAGTAAACCAAACTTTGATATTTGATGGATGCTGTCAAGTTCCTACTGTAGGAAGGGAGGAGTAGTTGGCTCACATGGTAATTTAAAATTTTCTCAGGAACTTCCACGTTCAGTGATGGATGCAGTGTTTGGTGAAAGTCATATGAACTTAATTGAGTGTGTCTTTGTGTGTTTTTTGTATTAATTGGCCTACTAATTTCTGCATAGATTTTTCAGATGGTTTTGGATAATATTTGTGACTAGCAATTTTCTGCTGCTGGAAGATCTGCCTGACTACCCAGTACCCAGTACCTCTGTCATGACAAAGCTAGGGAGAGTCTGATTTTACCCTACTTAAAAGCTTATGAGTTAGTCTCACGGTTTCATGTACAGTGGCAGAAGATCTAAAACTCTTAGGCCTGGACAAAGGACTTCATCACTTCAGGCACAGCAGGGAGCATGTGCTTTAAGTTCCCAGGTCCCTTTTGTGTCCTTTGTCCCATAGAGGCAGTGCCAGGGAGCTGAGTTGGGTGCTGTACATGCGGTGGGTTTGTTGCACACTCAGTAGTTCTTTGATTCACAGCTGAGATATCCAGACTCAAGGAACCTTAGCTTTGGTGCATTGCAAGCAAACCCATCCAACTTTTCGCCTTAGGTGGAGACTTTATTAACCTGGGCAGCATATAAATCTGCCCTCTGCCTTTGCGAGAGACATCATTCTAACTTGTATGCTATTCAGATAACCTTGGGAATTTCTTCTGGAACAAATGCTGTCAGTGCCTCTGCTTAGAGAGAGGCTGTGGTGTGTTGTCTCCTTATGAACCTGAGTGGTGAAAACAGCATTGTTCTTGGGCCTGTGGGAGCACCAGGCACTGATTTTTCTAATCCTTTTGGGTGCCCTTTTCCCAGCCTGTGATAGTCCCTTCACGCTGGGTGAGAAAAAAGAAGGAAAAGAAGCAAAGATATGAGCTCAACAGGACAGCTTTATTTCAGATCAAACCTGAGAGAGGGACCACTCTGGGACTGAGACCAGACAGGATCCTCTTATGGGTTATAGGGCCTTGTGTAGGATCATGAGAGGGAGAGGAGCTCAGTGAAAGAGTTTGTGGCTCCCTGCAAAGAACAAGGGTAGCCTTAAGAGTCCAAGGGGTAATGCTTGTCCAAGGAGAGGGCTTGGGGGAGCACAGGGATAAGGGCTGCTGGTAATGCTGATAATGCTGAGGCACTGGGTGCAGTTTTGCTGGCGTGAGGATTAGGGTGGTCTCTGGTCAGCCCAGTATGATGGTGGTTGGGTTCCCTCAAGGTGAATTCTCGAAACCTGCAAATCTCTAGTGTTCTGTGGCATTCTTTCCTCTAAAGTGCTCTGTCCTGGAAGCCCTTGACCATACTTCTAGTTTTATCTCTTCAACTCCAGATTCTTTTAAGCGCTGCCTGGACTTTTTTTTTTTAAGGATTTTTTTTTTTTTTTTTCTCCTCAAATGCCCTCAGGGGTGGTTTGGCTGGCTGGAGGGTTGTGGGGATCGAACTACAACAACCTGAGGCTGACAGCTTTGTGGAAGCAGCCACTTACTGCCTGGACTTCTTCCTGTGGCTGGAAACTGTTGATGCAGTTATTTGGGGACCATTGTAGGGCCATCTATAATTTTTTTCTGGCTCTCAAGGTCATTGTCTTTAATATACTAATATCTTGAAAGTTATTGTTATTATTTATCTTTGTTGCAAATAGTCTGGCTGCTTTGGACACCTTCTTATGACTGATTTTTAGCAGTTGATAATGATATTCCTTAATACAGTTTTTTCCTCATCTTCCCTAAGGTCTTGCTGACTTTGGTGGATCTCTGAACTCATGGTTTTCATAAATTTGGAAATTCTTTATTTTTGCAGAACTGGGGGTTGAACTCAGGCCCTTGCGCTTGCCAGGGAAGCGCTTATTCCATTGAGCTATCTCCCTGGCCCCCTGGAA